CAGATCTTACCTCCCTCACAAGCTCCCAACCCACTGAACACCAAGGGCAGACTAGTTAGCAGGGACTCTGAACTTCCCAGTTAATGGCATCTCAAGCTCTTCAAGTTTCAGTTGTCTTTTTGGGTAATTCAGTCTCTCCTGTGTTCAGATTCCAATTCTGCCCATCCCATTGCTTCTCTCCAAGAAGGTGTGTGAGGTGGAGGCAAGCACTTGCATCACTTCTGGGGCCTCAGATCCCCAGAGGCAAGGCCTTAGTTTCCCCTCTAGTCCTTGGGTCCTTAGGGCAATGGCCCCTGGTCTGCTGGTCACTGGGTGCCAGCTGATCTGTAGGGCTCAAGTCCATAGCTGGTAAACTTAGGTTCTGTTCTTTGGATTGAACAGAACTTGGTGCCTTGCCCCAACCCAACACATACTTGCTTTTTCTGTGTGTGTGTGTATATATATGTAACTTGATCTAATCTAGGCTCTCACTGGCCCTGCAGCTCACCTCTGGTATTTGCTTGAACCCTCATGTTGATCTTAGACTTGGATAGTTTGACATGTAACCTTTGGCTACAAGGTCACCTCACTCCACTGTGGTAACCTTCTGCTTATGCAGAAGCATAAGCAGGGCACTTTAGCAGCAGCAGGGCAGTGGGGAACTTCTGGATCCTTTGCAGACCCCATGGGAGCTGCGGGAGACTCAGTAGTGCTAACACTGCCAGGTTTGCTATGTAGAACCTTCGAGTCACCAGTGTGTGGTATTCTCTCTCGCCCCTGAGTCTTAAATGGGGATCCAGGCACAAAGATTCCCCTCTTCTCCTCCTCTTCTATCATTGAGTGGAAGCAGAACTGTTATAGAAATAGGTCAGCACACTAAGTTCTAAGAAGTAAGAGGTGATAGTTTGCAAGTGAGGGAAGAGACGAAACATTGAAAAGACTGACAGGAGAGCCCAAGCATTTAGAGGAGGAACAATTACTTCTACCATGTCAATATTACCTGAGGGCATCATTGTGTGTCACAAGGTAGAATCATAATATATGATGACAATAATGGTAATGTTGACTCATCAATTAAAAGTCCCACTATACTTGGTATTTTTACGGGAAGGCACATAAATCTAACGTGTTACAAAGATTTTCATAGAAATGGTCCGATTTTATTACTTAATGGAATAAGAAGGAGACAATGTAATATAATGATTAAAAGCATGGGTTTCGTTTCCTTTTTAAAGTCAGAGAAGATGCTAGTGGACTTGATTTTTCCCAGATAAGTCTGTAATATGCACCCCAGGGATAGTGAGGATGCTTAAGGAATGATGAATACCTTTAAAGGGTGAACAGAATACTTTTATGAGAAGTTGCAGTGATATCTGGAGCTTGAAATGTATTCTGTTCTCATTTTCTGGTAAATGAAAAATTTAATCAACAAATTAATCTTTTCTGATTAAATTCATTAAAAATTAAGAATGCACTTATTTTTATCAAAGTAATATATGCTCATGGTTAAAAAAATCAAACTGAAGAGCTCATAAAGAAAAACAACCATCCTGTGCTTGTCCTTTCACGCATCCTGCTCATCAGCCACCACATGTTCTAATTTTAGCTGTTTCTTCTTATGGTTTCCGCCGTGTCCCTAAATAACATGCATTATAGCTATTTCTAGATTTATCAATTTTAGGTATTATCTGTTGACTTCTGTTAATTTAGTTGAGTTTTTAGCTCACTTTATCTACTTCCTACCCCCTCCTCCTAATATAACTATATTACTCTCTTATTGATTATCTTTGCAACTTTAATGAAAAGATTTATACCTTTCTTTTTTATTATATCAGCTCTACACACATCTCTTGTACCTCTAAACTTATTATTTGTATTTTTACAGTGTCAGAATTGATGAGGTTATATTCAGATACTTATGATAATTAATATTTCATGCTTCAACTGTATGTCGGTTTTAAAAGTTGGAAATTAAAAAAGGGTTTACGTTATTATGACAATGATGTGACAAAGTGTGATTTGGTTTCCCTTCTTGCACAGCTGTTGTTTTCTTTGATGTTTCTAATTTCCTTTCTTGCCCCCCAAATTATATGCCTTTTTTGACTTTTTTATGTTGCTCCAAATTATCAAGAATATCATCAGATCCTGGCCTGCTTTATCCCTTGGTAACCCTCTTCTGGAAATTCTGTTTTCTGAACCATTCTGTATTGAATGCTTTTTATTAGCTTCCTTCCCTGCCTTCTGCATTTGGAGCCACTTTTCCCCCTAGTTCCCATCTTGTCTTCTTTCTTGCTTTACTTCCTCATTTTGCTGATACACATCCTCAAGTAACTTCCTAAGAAAGAATATGTGGTAAAGAAATTTCCCACATCTTTGCACATCTGAAAATATCTTTATTCTGCCGTCACATTTGATTGTTTTAATTTTTAAAAAATGTCTTCTGGCCTTTTCTCATGTTGTTCTTTCTGCTCTTCCTATTAGGGTGCATGTTGTTCCTCTTGCCTTGATCCTCTATGTCTTATTATTATTATTTCTTTATATTTCTTGTCTCTGTCTCTTTCTGTACTACTCTCTGTGAGACTATTTTATCTTCTAACATTTACGTTGAATTTTTGTTAGTTTTAATATATAGGAGCTCTTATTTGTTCTCTTATAGGGTTTTCCCCCCATAGCATCCTATTTTTTGTTTTATGGATGTAATATCTCTTAAATCTCTCTGAGGATACTAATTAGAGATTATTTTTTAAAAAAAGTTCTTCTCTGTTTCCTATATTATTTCTGCTTCTTCTGTAGTCATTTTTTTCTGTTCATTTTTTACTCTATTTTTTTTTGTGGATTTTTACCTTTTTAATTTATTTACTTTTATTTTAGTGGGGACTAGGATAGGAAAGAAAATAAACACCTGTAGTCAAACCATGATCTATAACTGGCTATTCTTCCCTCTTATTACCTAATCTAAGTGGGGCATTAGCCATGAAAGAGCTCTCTCAGTTTTCCCCTCCTCCTCCAGGTCTTCTGAGGGAAATTAATTACAATTTCAGGATAAACAAGAGAGGTAGTTAAATTGATTAGACTTCATATACACTCGGGAAATTTTGTGAATTTTGTACTTCTTTTAAGGCTTAGTTGCTCAGTTCCAGAAATGTGAGTTTATTCAGGGAGAGAAGACCTACATGAAGGGTTATTCTGTCTCCAGAATAAGGTCAAAGCTCTTTGACATTCAGCACCCTTCCTTCCCAGTCTGGTCTCCAGGCTCCTCTCCTGCCAGTCTTCCTGGTTGCCCTTTGTCTGTCTGCACCAGTCTGCTGTGTGTTCCATGCTGGCAGACCTTTGCTCTTGCTTGCGCTCTGCCCGGAATGTTCCCTTCCTGCCACAACCTCTTGAGTTCACCAAAGGGAGGCATCATATTTTCATTTCTATATCTATTGTTTTTTTTTTTAATCATCTTAGGCATTCATAGGGTTTAAATGAATTTTACTCATCCTTCCAGACTAGAGCAAGTTCAAATGTGACCCCTCTGAGACATAGATTTTTACCTCTCTTAAATGGAATTAATCATTTTCTTACCTGTTTCTTTAGTTAGTTGTGCACATATCTGTTTATCCTGATAAGTGCCTGGAGTGCATGGACCATATCTCATCAAGCTGGATTTCCCCAGGGTCTTGCATTGTGCTCGGTACCTAATGGACACTCAAGAAGTATGTATATATGGGAGAGACGGAGGGAAGCGCCGGTTGTAGATTTCATGAAAAGCATATTTATAAGCTTAGCGGTTTTACAGATTCACTTCATGAAAGCTGTGTTTTGTGTTCCTTTTCAATAGATCAAAGCATTCTCAAGAATAGATTACTGTATTTAGTTATTCCTTCTCCTTCTCTTTCCTCTATTCCTTCCCACATAGATAGGAAGGGATGGTTACCCATATCGTGAATGAATTGTAAATGCTGTACTAAAACAAAATTAACCTCCCAATTAAAGGAGGACATGATATATCACCATTGTGTCTCTCTACATAGTGTATATACATATATAAACAAAACCCCCTCCTCTTGGTGTGTTTGTGTTCTTTCCTTTTTTTTTTTTTTTTTGAGAAGGGTGAGTATTCTGTGGAGAGGAGAGAGCCAGGCTAAAATAATGATTACATTTAAGTTCTGGATGTTATTTGCTTAATTTAAGGTCTTGAAAAGAAAAGAGGGACAGATGATTTCCTGAGCACAAAAAGCATCTTCAAAAATGTGGGAAGTGGTGAGAACACACTAAGCAGCCGGACATGTCTGGCCTCCTTAATCCCTGCGTCGGGAGTGAATGGTGGGCTGGAGCTCCGTGAAAGAGCTCTGAAATGTGACTTCTGTGGCTACAAAATTTCAAAATCAGTAAGAAAGTTTTGTCGTTGTGAACATCTTGATCGAGTTCTACAAAGCTCTAGTATTAGGAGGTTCTAGTCACTTCCTTACCAAGAGGAGGGCTCTCTCTGGTGTGTGTGTTCCACAAGGCGATCCTCTATCTGCCTTCCTCTGCCTCTCTAAGAAGGCCTTCTTCTCCTAGGATGGGCGGATGCTAATCAAGGTCAACAAGGTTAGTTTGTGGCTTCTGGCCAAAAGACTGACAAGGCTAAGATGCTGGATGGAGGCAAAGAAATTACTTTTGGATTCTCTCTTGCTCCATATTACCAGTATACTTTCACTGAGATGAAAAATTAGGGCTTGAATATGTCTTATGGGAATCACTGGATTTCTGCAGGATTCGTTGGTTGGTTGGTTAAGCATGGTTCCCTTGCTAACTTCTTCTTGGAGTACAGTAACCTTAGCATTTGAATTCAAAATATTCAGCTCTAAAGCTCTGTTCTGTATTCCTCACAGGGCCTTTCTCCTGTTCAAGAGACTGTTTTGGAGGGAAGCAAAAGTACCTGGAGTGGTTGACGTTATTTATGTCCTCATTGAATCTCAACTAATGTCTTGCCTCATGTGCCCTTTTCTTTTCTTTTCTTCTTCTTCTTCTTTTTTTGTTTTTTTTTTTAACAGATACTAATTTTGTGTTGGGGAATGCGCAGATAGTGGACTGGCCTATCGTGTACAGCAATGATGGATTTTGCAAGCTGTCTGGCTATCACAGGGCGGAAGTGATGCAAAAAAGCAGTACCTGCAGGTATTTATGTTTGGGGTTGTTCTGTTGAACAATCTATCATGGTATCTTTTGGAAAAAGAAAATGGCTTACTCATCTTGGGAATTGCCTTTCTCTCGTTCAGTGTTTATTCAGGAATATTTATTGCAATATCATCTCTAGTTCACACACTGTCCTGGGAAAATCAAAGAAGACCTAAGACATGGTCCCCACAACTGATGAACTTGCAGTCAGTGAGACTGGGGGAAACCTAGAAAAACTCAGGAAAATCATTTTATCTATAAAATGTGAATTCAAAAGTATATGAGGTTTTAGATGAAATTATGTGCGAGTTAGAAGGTTAAATAAAATGAAATAAAAGTTTAGATGATTAAATTAATTTTTAAAAATGTATGACCGTTTTAGAAGAATAACTACAATATTGGATACAAGGGCCTTGTTCATAGGGCTTTTCATCAGAAAAAGAGAAGAGAACCAATATTCTCTTCTAATTCATGCTATTACATCTCTCTCTGATTGCTAACTCAAAGGCAGAGGCAAATGGGGCTAGCAGCACAGCTTGTGAATTTGACAGGGTTACTAACCAAGCAGTACCCTTGGGCAGGGGCATTAGAAAAACTCTTTTAAAGCATCTTCAAGGTGTTGAACGGAGCGTGTAGCCCAGACCCTGCCAGACGTTCCCCTGTGCTGCCCTGGCAGGGTCTTGGCTCAGCTCAGCCTTTGGCTCCTCTCACTCCTGACTTCCTTCGGAGTCTTCTATCTTCAGTGGTGTTTGCATGAAGTGGAATCATTTCCCCAAACCTGCCAGATCAAGAAATAAGCTCATCTCTGAAGAGTGGAAAAACCTGTCTGACCCAGGCATGGTCTTCGGTTTTCAGAAGTTGCATTTTCATGGTATTAAATTGGCCAAGTAACTAGTTCGGTGAAAAGTATTAAAGCCTTTGAAAATGTTATCATTTTCTTAAATTTTAGGTTTTTGGGACTGGGAAATGGAAAATTTAAGATTCCTCTCCCCCCTCAAAGGTTTAGAAATTATGACTCTTAAGTAATACAATAGAATTCTCTTATGTTCTTGGCGTGCTGTTATCCTCTTAAGTATCTATATCTATATCTGCATCTACATCGGTATATGCACATTTATAATCAGAACAAATTGGGAGAGTTAGCTTCACTTTTTGTGACTTGAGCAGCCTTTCTTTACCTTTCTTGCTTTTTATTGGCTATTATCACACACTCTAAGGAAATCAGATAAGACAACTTGCTGATTTAGCCAACTTTTCTTTTATGTACAATTCTAAGAAACTTATTTAATTCCCTGAAGGTGTCCCTTCTCTAGAAATGAAGCGGACATACCTTTGTGCTAGCTATATTCCTAATAGCTCGGGAGCCTCTTTTGCTTATTTTTTGCATTGCACGCATCTGAAATCTAATGTCCAGGTAAAGGAAACTTATATCTACTGGTAAAACACAGCTTGAAAAAGTATGTAAGACTAATGAAAGCTGGGTGTAATTACGGTGCTTCATGTGTTTGAAGACTCCATTTTACAGGGATTTGTTTTACCTTATGAAGGAAATTGCTATCATGTATACCATCACGTCACTTAAATGGAGGTCACTTTTCTAGCAAATTAACTTGGAAAGAGAAAGTGGGAGGAAGCTAAAAAGGCCTCTGAGCAACTGGCTAAATAAAAGGGTCTTGGAGCTTAAGTTTTTATCTCCTAGGAGAAGTCCTCTTGTTCTCAGGCAGGGCTCATTTAGTCTTGATCTATCCTTCTTTCTAAAGATAATTCAACAAGCTCGGTTATCTGTTTTCCGGGTTTGTAGATGAAGGGCGCAACCCAAAAGCAGAGTGCTACACAAGATAGGCAGAAGGGGGACCACAGATGATAACATCTCTCAGTGGGCTGGGAAGGGACATAATTACAAAAGGGACACAGAATTCATCAAGTCCACAGCTAGGGCCCTTTTCTGACAGGGTGCTGGAAAGTGGAAACCCACAGTAAGCCCAAGGCTGTTCCAGTATCAAGCTAAGCATGGCGCTTGACTTGGTGATTCAGGAATTGCACTGAGATTCTTTTTAACTCTGAAATTCTGTGACTCTGTGATTCAAGTCATCAGGAAAAAGTTAGATTGCATTCACTATGCACAGTTTTAGAAGATGGGGAACGTATTATTTAGGAACCCATGCCACTGCTCCTACCTTACCTAAGACCTAAGGGCTGTGCGTTGCTGTCTTTCTTGTTCTTGTTGCATGAAAGCCTGGGGTGGTCAGGGGGGATGCTCGCTGGGTCCATGGGCAGCCTTTGTCAGAGGACTGGCTTTTCCGGCCCCATTGAGAGATGCCCTTTCGACTCTCGCATTTTGTTAGTGTCCTGTGCCATGGTTTGCTCTACCTAGTTGGGGGTGTATCCTGTTCCCAGAGGGGTAAACCTCTTCAGACAATGTGCAGTGTGGGGCCCGGGAAAATGGACAGTCCTGGCAGTTTTCCTGCCTCTGCTGAGGACCAGTATTAGGAGAGTAGGGGTTTCTACAATCCAGGGGTTTTCTCTAGTTTTTTTTTCATGCTGCTTATTTACCCCCTTAGTCTACTTTTCTCCACCTGTGAACAGTAGGGAGATGTATTAGTAAGAATTTGTAGGATTTTATCATGTCAGTTTTTTAACCTAATGCTTTTCTTCTTTTTTGGTGGTGAGGGCAGGAAAGGGAGCTGCACAGATGGTGGCTGAACCTTCTGTTTCTTTCCTTAGCTCTGTCTTAACATTTAGAGCATCAAATTGCACCCTTTTTCTTGTTTTGCTAGTGAATTTTTGTGATTTTTCCTATTCTTTTGTTCATTTTGTTGAGAATCAGAAGAGGAAAAAAATCTGTGGTCCAAATTTACTCTGCCATTTTTTCCCAGGAAGTCTCCCGGAGTTGTATTTCTAAAAAACAAATCTGGTTATGTAACTCTGTTGCTTAAAACCCTCCAGCATCCCCCCCATTGCTTTCAGGATAAAGTTGAAATATGATTTCACATGGCTTATAATGCCGTGTTCTCCTCCATAATTGGGCCTGTGCTTACCTCTCTGTGTTATCTGTTGCAAAATTTCCCCTCATTGTCTAGTCATACTGAACTGAACTACATTCAGGTTCCAGAGTTAACCTCACTCTCACCTCTGTGCCTTTGCACGTGCTCATCTTTTGCCTGGAATATTCTTTTCGCTCCTTTTCTCAGCTGATTTCCATCTGCCTTTTAGATCTCATTTGTCCTTACCTCTGGGAAGCCTTCTCTGACCACTCAGACAGTGCTCTGTGCCTATTCTGTTCTGTAATTCCTAGTATATTAGTCATAGTTTTCTGATCTACTCTGTTCTAGTGTGTCTCTCTTATTAGGCTCTTCATTGTTGGAGGGCAGTGATTGAGTCTTGATCACAGTTGAGTCAGTAAATCTTTTTTGATTGAATGAATGTTTTCGGTGTGTGTGTGTGTGTGTGTGTGTGTGTTCATTCTGCATAGCACAGTGCTGGGCATAGAACAGATATTTAACATATGCTGCTAGAATAATAAATACTTGTTAATCTAATTTGACTCTTTGGTTGCTTTGCAGTTTTATGTATGGGGAGCTGACTGATAAGGACACAATCGAGAAGGTGCGGCAAACATTTGAGAACTATGAGATGAATTCCTTTGAAATTTTGATGTACAAGAAGAACAGTAAGTATTCAGACCATTCTGAACCATACCCTTATGTGCTTGGAATAGTGAAATATCTCCTCTTCCTCTGTTGCTGTCGTGGGTTTTCTTCTCTCCCACCAGCTAAATGTTACTACTTGAAGCCATTCTGTATGTTGGGATAAATGGTATGGATTGATGAGTTACACTGTTTCTCATAGGAACATTTGAACTTGTCACTAACGAATCAAGACTTCTTGATCTCTTTGTTCTGCCAAGAGTTAGTGTTTTTCCTATTGATTTACTTATGGTAAGTTGCTGGCTTAAGGCACTTGTAGATTTTAAGCTTTCTTAGGGGGAGGAAGAAGGTGGGACCGAAACTCTGTCCAGTTCATCTTTGTATCTGTCTTCCACAGCACCTAGCACAGCAGGGAACACCAGTAGGTGCACAAATAAGTTCCTGAATAAAATTTTGTTCTCCTAGTGACCCCGCTTTTCCGTTGGAGACATTACTAACAGGAGTACATTGTTAATTTGTATTTGTTTTGGTTACAATTACTTCCACAAAGTGTGTCAATGAAGAGTTTGTCAGTAGCCATACACATATATAAACTTGCTTTTCTCTTAGAGATTTCCTGTTAAATGAAGATTATCTATATTAGAAGTATAGAAAGTGGAGTATATGGCCATAGCAGGGCTGCAGAGGTATTGAATAGTGCTTTGTTTCTATTTTAAAAACACTATTTGTTTGTAAAAAATCCTGTTCTTTATATGCAGGATTGAATTGAATATGTAGGTAGGTCATTGGTTCAATAAAACATTTCCAGAGTGGCCCAGATGGCACATGAAGATAGGTGTTTATTTTGGTGGCATTCAGAATGATATGTTTTGCTCTGGAAAGGAAAGGGCACATTTTCTTTTATCTGGAAGGGGCTGGGACTTTTTTTCAGTCTGGAGTGTTGGAGCAGGCAACCGAGAGGACTGTTTGCCTGGTGGCCTGTGCAGATGCTGTTCCAAGAGATTAGCTCTGGGCATCAGCAAATCCAAGACGGTTGGTCCTGCAGCCTTCACGCTAGAGTTGTTGCCTTGCTCCATCTCGCCCCTTCAGCCACTAGGTCTAGTTCCTACCCGGCTATTATGCATAAGAGGAATGAGGTGAAAAACTGTAAATGGCTCTATGCCAGTCCTTCCACGATGGGGAACACAGCTCAGAACAACAGTTCTTACTGGGAGCATGCCAGCAGTGGCCTTCTCATGGGGAGGAAATGCTCTCCTTGTGTGCCCCGAGCTAATGGAGTAAGTTCAAGGTTTTCCACGCTGGCAGCTTTGTGTACTGAACAGTGTAGATTTCCCCACAACACAGAATACTGATTGGGTAGGTGTATCACAAAAATAATGCCTTGCATTTATGTTTTGCTTCCGAGTTTTCAAGCTTCATTAGACTATGCATTTAACTTGCCCAATTCAACTCTACATGTTTGGCACAAAGGGGAGAGAGAAGGAAACATCATTTAAATTGAGTTAGTGATTTAACTTGCCATTCCCTTCAGTGAGCACGTAGCCCAGAGTGAGTATGAGATGGCAGAGGGGATCTCAGCTGCCTGGGCTGCCTCTGGGGCTGAAGGCCTTGTATTGAGTGTCTCTTCTGGTTGAAGGTGATTCTGGTATTTGATGTTCTGTACTTTAGGTAGACATGGCCTATGCAGGTAAGCCAATTAGTTCAACTGATGTTCTACCAAAGAATCGGCACTCTTCCCTCCCTGGAGGTTGTGGTGGCCTATTGAGAGAGGCATGCCAGTCTCCAGAGTGGCATGTCAGCCTGGGCACGAGGCTCTACTTTATGGGTGATGTTCAGGCATTTTCAAGAGTAACTGTGGTCATATGCAATTTTTACCTTATCCTTTGACTTCAGAAAATAAACTCCGTAGAAGGTATGACTTTACTCTATTTTAAAATATTGATTCTCTAAGCCCTGTAAAGTAGGCACTGCTGATGTTATCTCCATTGTATGAGAAGTTAAATAGTTAAATTCCTCACTTGAGGTCATGTACAGCCAGGACGTGGTTTCCAGTGCTTGCTCCATGGCCATTCTTCCTAGACTGGGACAGTGTAACTGGGAGTACAAGGCAGGGCCACCATATATGGTGGTGCAGGCCATAACCTGCATAGAGGGCAACTGATAACCAGCTTGTGGTTTGCTTGCTGAGTCTTTCATGCACCCTGGCCTAGAATTGCATCTGTGCTGAAGGAGGAGGTTGTCTTTCTAATTTACACAAAGATGTCTAGTGAGCTAGCAGAGGTTCCACACAAGGCTAAGCCTGTCCATAAAACATGAAGCATGGAATTGATGCAGATAGTGCTGGTTTCTTCCTAGGAACCTGTTTACTGCTCCCAACTCCTCCAAATCCTACCCTCTCCTGAGGAATTTAGAAACTTTATATTATTTGTTAAGCCTGGGAATTTTGCAGTTGCACCGAATTCTATGCTTTTTTTTTTTTTTAACAGCTTTTTACTGACCAACTACTCTTTGTCAGACACTAGGCTTGCTGCTAGTGATGCGGTTACGAAAAGACAGACAGCTTCTTAGAGCATTTGCAGTGATGGAGGCAGCATCCGTAGCACAGAGCTGTCAGTGTTTTGATGGTGACACCACTTGGGGTGGTCACTTAACCCCAACTTAGGAGGGCAGGGAAGGAAATCTTCCTAGCAGACAGGAAATCCATGCAGAAACTGAGGGATAGGTGGGAGTTAGGCAGAGAGAAGGGACAGGAGTATCCCAGGCTGATGAAATGCAGGTGGGGAAGGCAACAGGCGAGAGTGGGCACTGAAGTTTCAAGAGACACAAAGCAGGGCTTCTCAGACTTTGACATGCATAGGAAATCACCTGTGAATCGAAATACTGTTTCTATTCAGCAGATCTGGGGAAGGGCCTGAGATCTGCTCCCAGGTGATGCCGATGCTGCTGGTCATGCATCACACTGTGTAGCAAGGACAGAAAGCAGCTGTAGTGAAGACTGACTTCCATGCCTACAGGCTGTGTCTCTTTTACCGCTGTATCCCCTGGACCCAGCACAGTGCCTGACACATAGAAAATGCTCCACCAAAACTCATGGGGTAATTAAATAAATCTATAAATAAAGGAGGGGTAACCAGTGAGGCTGGAGAGGTTAGGAAGGGCCAGTAATGCAGCCACGTTACAGAGTTTAGAATTTGTCTTAAGAGAGTGGTGGTGGGGAGAGGGGGGTGAGGAGTGTTGAGGAGTTCCAAGTAGGGTTAAGTATATAGTAATCAGATTTTCATTTTAGAAAGATGAATCCAGTAGCGTGTGGAGAGGGTATGGAGCATATGAGACTGGAGGTTCAGGGCCCATTAAGAATCACCCTGGTGACAAGATGATTGTGACCTGCTTGGGGGAAGAGGCAGTTCAGATGGAGATACGTCCAGCGGGGAAATGGGAGGAGGCTGAGTGTAGGGCCTTTGTCAGTGGTGCCTGCTAACTGGCCCTTCCCTCAGTTTGCCCCAGCCCAGGCAGTGCTCAGGAAGTGGGAAGCACAGTGTTTCCTGTCAGGAACTCCTACTCCTCTGGCCTGAAGTAAAACATGCTGAGTATCTAGCAGAGCGTGGCCTAGAGGAGGTGCTAGGTAAATGTTTGTTGAGTGACTTTGAAAGGAACTTCATAGTAACCAAGACACAGATGAGTGGAGGAAAAGTCTGTGATTCAGAGTGAGGGCTTTGGAGCCGAGGAGTGAGCAGCGTGGGGCTCAACTGACCAGTGACGCCCCCGGAAGAGCAGACTGTGAAAGGAAGTGGACGGGAGGAGAGGAGAGGAAGGAGGAGGCAGTTTGCTTCTACTTTCAAAATTTGTGGTCCAATAGATGGACTCTTCCAGCGTTTTAAAGCAGTGTAGAGTCCCGTGGGGGAAGTCACCCCTGTCGAGATTTTAAAATATGAGATGTCATCGTTGAAAAGAATGTTTATTTTCTTCTCTGATTTTTAAATTAATGCATTTTTACTATGAATACATGAAGGGATAAAAAAGAAAAACAGTCACTCCAAAGACTCAAAGACTCAGAGAAGTACTACTATACTATTAACTTTTTGGTGTGTTGTCTTTCAGTTTTTGTCTCGTACATGTTACGTAATTGAGATGTGTTACATTTTGACATATGTGCAATTTGAAACCATACATTTATTTAATCTTTTATCAAAAAAATATCCCCATCGTTAAAATTCCTCATAAATATAATTTAGAAAGGATTTTATTAACACTTCTCCTATTGTTGGATACTTATGAGGGTCTAAATTTTTTTTTTATTAAACGCAATGCTAAGGTGAATATCTTCGTGCCGAGATACTTGTTGACACTCTGAAATATTTCCTAGAAGTTAAGAATTAGTGTCAAAGAATGTGAACCAAGGTTCCTGAGACATTTTGCCAAACAGTGTTCCAGAAATGAACCCACTTCCAAGTTCACTTGCAGATTGTGAGTGTCTGACTCATTGTTTTGGACCAGCATTGAATGGTATAACTTTTAAATTATCAAATTGCCTACAATTAAATTTTTTTGTTTAATGAGCATTTTTAATGCTAGTGAGACTGAGTATTTTTCCTATTTACTATTCATTTAAAATTATCCTTTTTATGTTAATTGTTAAGATTCTTTGCCTGTATAGTCTATTTAATTCTAGTGATTTTTTTATTGATTTTTTTATAAGCTCTTAATAAATTGTTTTGATTCTCTTTTTTTCCCCTCTCCCATTCTTTAATATTTGCAAGGACAACTTTGTAGGAAGGATCTGTTATTGATAAGCATTAATGTTTGTCCTACATTTTGGGAATTTGGGAGTAATTAGCAGAAGGCTTCATGGTGTGTTTTGGAATGAGTGTGTGGAATACATATCTTGGCAGATGGATTATTTGAAAGGTTTCTTTCTATCTGTTGGCCAGTCTGACCAATAAACTTGGGCATTTCAGTAGCACTATATATTTTGTATTGTTACTTAACTCATTCTTAGTATAATTTTAGATAATTATAGATATAT